ATGAACCGAACGAATGAGACGTAATTCCCTAATTACCGCGTTCGCGAAATTGTATAAAAAACGTCCTGACCTCTTGCGATATCAAGTTCCTGTAGTATTAATCATGTGAGGAAATCGTTAGTTATATTGCGCGTGCGCCATTGAGGGTTCGATTTTTGATTAGACTTTTCTAGACTCAATTTTTAATTGTGTCAGATCTCGTTATTATGCCCGGAAGTGTATGGCAATAAGGCGTCCATTTACAATGACGCTTACCTTTAATTATTTTAGGACCCGTAGGTATAATATTGTCTTATTAAGTTGCTGTAAGGTAAGCTTAAGTCGTTGCGTGAAGCCTATATTCAGCAGCAACAGATGATGACGATGAGCTTAACTGTAATATGGAAATATACATATTTTGATACAAAATAACGAAACGTTAATCAGACAGTATGAAATACCATGTAGCTCCTCTTCTTACCTAACTATTCAAGGTACAATATTATGGTTTGTTTTAAAACGCATTGCCCATAAAAGAAATCCGTGATAAAACTTCATAAACAAGTAAAAACGTTCATTTTAATTACATTTCCTCATTTTATTTCACAAACTGAAAACTTGATAGCTGTAAACTTCAATAAAATATAATTGCGATCGTATTTCATTAAGGATAATGTTCAATTTTCATAATTTTTATTACTAACTACCTGTTTAGCTTTATTTATCCTAAATTTTAATTAAATCCAGCTATTTTATTGTTCGTTACTTATGCGGATAAGTATTATATCGAATTGTTTCCTCATACTAAAAATTGTTTATCAATGGTTTTAGTTTTCCTTTAAATTGTGATTAACTGTCTGTTGTACTGTAGTGCTACTGCTAAGCTCAAGACTTTAAATTTGATCTCTGGATTGACAAATTACATTTTTAGGGTATAAGATTTCTAGAACTAGTTTTTGCACTTTATAGAAGTAAAAAGTAGCCTCCCCATGTATTATGTCAGAGTATCTTCAGACAATAGTCAATCTCTATGCCAATCATACCGGTATTATTTCAGTTATTTTTTACATGGAAAAGTAATACTTAATTATATTTAAAAACTTTCACATTTATAATATTAGTAGCAAGTCGAAATTAAGTAAGATTAACCTAAGATAGGACTGATAAATTATTATTATTCATTAAAAATTTAAAGTAGATACAACTGCTGGCCACATTTCGTATGAAACAAAAACATTCATCGTTTGACATTAATAGCTGAATCTTATTCACATCGAAGAACTTCGGATGCATAATGACAATGAGTCAATAATTCTGTTTTTGTATTTCTTGCAAAAAACTTCAAACTTTAGTTTATCTAAAGTTATACCTAACAGCACCCCACGTACAGAGCAATGTCATAATTCACCCAATATCATTTTTTTTTTTTTTTTTTTTTTTTTTTTTTTTATAATATTATCATGTTGTACCTATATATAATCAATAATTCAGTATACAAGCCCCAAGCACTAATTATATTACTGGTGCGAAATATAACAAGGTTGTACAAACTACTAATAGACGACCACGGCTTCACTTACAACACACTTCTTTTTGTCACGTGAATAATTAAAATTATCTTCTCTTTAAAATTTAGTTTTTATAAATTATGTTATCGTATAGACTATTAGAATTAGCTTTCTAACTATCTAAGTAGGAAAATTTATTTACTTTACTCTAGCCAGTTTGGAGATAAGGTGCTACGAAAAAATTGACTATTTTGTTTAATTCTCGTAAGCATATATATCCCTATATAGCGAGTACCTATTAGTCTACCCATTATATCTGCTTGTACATGACTTGGTAGACTTAAATATCCCTATTTATTTGTGGTTGTGGTTATACTGTGTTGTTTATATCCCTTCACAATTATAAAACATGTAAAAAGTACCTACAATATCAATGGTGTGGTTAATTGTCACTGCATATAAACTGTCAATAACATCCAATTTATAATTAAAACAACAAATTAACTTTATTATTATGACCATAGAATATTGTCTCCCTTATTTAATTTGTAAAAGTCCCTTTGCATTTAGTGTTCACGTTTTTTTTATTTATATTTGAAACTGTAGGTACACAGTCAAGTCTTTATACATAATAATACCATGTCAATAACCACCAAAAAATTGTCACACTTAGGTACGCAAATACCCCAAAACTGCAGAACCTTATCCACCAACATAAGATTCATAAAATATTATATTAACTATCGACTCGCCCCAGCTCTTTGCACGGGTGCAATATGCATGTATTATACATATAAATCTCCCTTAAGAATCACTCTATCTATTAAAAAAAACCGTATCAAAATCCGTTGCGTAGTTTTAAACATCTAAGCGTACATAGGGACAGATAGACGGCGGATAGCGACTTTGTTTTATACTATGTAGTGATATACTAGCTGTCCCGGCCCCGGCAAACTTCGTACTGCTTAAACATTTTTTTTCTCACTTTTTAAACCTTCCCTAGACTTCCACGAAGATTGCAAGACCAAACTTAGCCAAATCGGTTCAGTCATTCTTGAGTTTTAGCGAGACTAACGAACGGAAATTTATTTTTATTTATATTATGTAGTTTTACCCTATACATCTACATATTACATTTTTTTTTAATTTGGTCCTGGCTTCGCTTCAACCACTTCATTTCTCTGCGCTTCCCTATGGTAGATTGTCAGGTAAGTCCGCGATTAACTGCAATATTGTGTAGAAAAAATAAATAAGAAATACTTAATCCTTACAAAAAACTGTCCCATGTGATTACTCTTTTACTGCATACCTATATATATATACCTACCTACCTAGCTCAAAAACAGTATCAAACAGCATTTTCAAATAAAAACTGCAACAAAAAAAGAAATCCTGAATAATTACAAAATGTCTACATAATTTAATTGCCGTATTCCCTAGGAACGTCTGCGGTTCGCTAGTTCAATTAGCTAGATGAGCAGACGCAGTACGCCTGGCAGGGTCGTCGGCACTGACTCGAAGCCCTTTACGAATGATTGAATACCGTCACTTGTTTCATTTGACTTCAAAAGAGAATAGAAAGTACGTACCTAAGGTCTCTGGCTGCTTCACTGGTCGTGTGATCTAGTGATCTCTAGTGCGACACATACAACTACGAACTAAAGCCTACGAGCCCAAGGTGTTGAAAACTATCTTTAAGTTCTTTAATTCCAAAGTCATTAGGATCATTCATCGTCGCCCTTTATGCCATTGAACTATTAATGGCAAATTATTAAGCTAGTGTTTTGAAAACAAAGGATTAAAATAATCTAATTTTGAAAACAAACAATTATGTATTGTTATGATTACATGTGTTTAGGTAAATACCTTATTAATGCTAATTAGTTCATACTAAACACTCGCATGAATTAAAAAATACCATGAGGCGTGATATGTTATTAAATATTGCCATGCTTCGGCACGAATCGACTGGCTCGACCGGAGTGACACCACACCCTCGTGTTTCGTCCTGTGAGTGACGTTACCGGAGGCCCAATTATCCCTACGGGGATGGGTAATTGGGCCTCCTCAATCTCCCCTATCCCTGAATCCGCAACAATCAAAAATCTCTAATCCCCAAAAGGCCGGTAACGCACTTGTAGCGCCTCTGGTGTTCCAGATGTCCATGGGCGACGCCGATTGCTTACCATTAATTGTTCCGCTTGCTCGTTTAACGGCTTATTATACCGAACTTGAATATTCCATCTACAAGTCTGTGTGGAAATATCGATCACTCCCTTCTAAAGTGAGTGAGTGCAGTCTGAGTTCTTGTTACACGTACCTAAACATTCTTGGAAGTTTTCAATGAATGTTGATACACTCGTACTCCCAGTGATTCAAACATAATGTTTTGGAGATCTGCCAGCTGTTCTCGTATAAAAATTATGAATAGTCTTAATTTTCTTGTGAATTGTCTATTTTTATATTTTTAAGTCATTTCGCAATGCGTAAAATTATATTTTTATACTACCTAGTAAAAAATTTACACATAATAACTTAAATACATAATTAAATATTGTTAAATTCTAGCGAACAATATACGTGCGGCCGCTGAAACAAGAGACCATTACCTGTTGTACAGGACAGTACGTACTGGCTGACTACTTACTTATTCAGACTTTTATTGTGCCTAGTTCATGGACTAGGTAACAATCTAAACTGATAGAAAGGATAAAAACTGATACAAGAAGCACCTACCTAAGTTCCAAAAGACTTGGTCCTTTTGGAAATTTAATGAAGCTATAGGTAATGGAATGGAACCTTTATGGCTATATTTATTATAATAAATAGCCCAATCGATATGAATCCTCATATGTATTTCGTGAATACATTAAAAAAGTACTTAACGCACAAAGAAACTGATAACGAAAAAAGGGCTAGCACTTGAAGTGACACAACATATTTGAAGCAACCATACTTAGGTACCCGTGAGTCATGGAGGTTTTATTATTTTATACCTACTCTTTACGTGATATTATTATGATCAGTATATAGACTGTTACCACTGTTACAGATATTCTAATACACGTAATTAACTCGTTGAGTACCGTCATTATAGACACAATTAAAGAACAATAGTTTGCGGTCACCAGTGTCCTCGCGGTATTTGACAGTTTAAGTCTAAATAAATACCACGAACATAGTTCATTTACGTATTCAGGAATATAATACGTCAACAACGGCATGGTTTCAACAAATATAACTAGGACAAAGGTCTAGTAGCCATCGCACATTAAGAATCACAACACAAGATAAACAATTTCATCGACGCTGCACCTGTGCAATTGTAGATGTTCACGAACACACCTTTATAGCCATTGTACTATTAACTTGAGCAAAGAAAACACAACCTAGCTTTGCAGTATCTTGCTCAGTTTTAAGACCCTTAGTCCTTTCCAGTAACATTTTCAGGTGCTACGCCACAATACGAAACCCACATTAGTAACTTAAAACATAACAAAACATTTTAATTACCTGTTGTGATGTGCGCTGATCTGTCAAACAGAAGACAACTGATCACATTTCATTGGTGAATCATCTGTCCCGGTGGAAATCTGGATCGTCAAGACACGTACGTACTACAGTACACTTCACAAATTTCTAACTAATATTGGATTTAATGAAATGCTTAATGATTTGTTATATGAATAATGTGTACACTTGGGAACACGTCCTTTTGTGCGTGTGGTGGGTAGTGTATTGTGAGGCAGGGTGCCCGGGGCGCACCGGCGCGCGCCGCCCGCCCTGCGCGACCTCGCCCGTACACCGCGCGAGCGTGCAGCGTTCAGCGGAGCGATTCAAGCGGACTGAGCGGTTCCGTAGCAGCGGACTCACGCTGTCGCATGCTAATATTAGCGGCGGATTTTCGCGCGGAACAAGAGGCGCGCTCACGCCGAACCTCCGATGATAAGTGTGGTCGCTAGCTGGCGAGTACTGGCGACTACGAGCACTGGGCAGCCGCCCGCCTCGCCAGCGCGCATGCGTCGCGCACACATCACAACAAACAGTAGCCGTTCAACTTACATAGTAACCAGCCATTATTGACTAAATGACTTTAAGCTCTACGTGAGCTTAAGTATCGAGACGTCATGATATTACTGTACTGGCGAACTTTTTACCTGGCTGACCATGGCATTGCGCTGTATAATTGTATAATAAATAAACTAGAATAACTAAGGAAATTAATCTTATATTGTAAGCAGGGGTAACGATAACACAGGTAACATTATACATATAGAATGTAATATCAGATATCGATATGTCCAAACTTATCCCAGAACTTTGTCGGGTATTCGAGATCGATCTTCCGCTGGAGTCCTTGAGCTACGCATGTATGTATGTAGCTGTGTGCAATATGTGCACCTCTAGTACTGTACCTACAGTAGGTACCTACCTACTTTAGATGTACCTATGTGTCCTTAATCTGCTGTGCAGGATACAAATGTAAACAAATAAAATATGTTTTGGAAATACTATATCATGTGTATACGATACGTGAATTTCAGGATTTTCAGGGTCTTATTTAATTGAGTCATTAAATCAGACTTAAAACTAAAAAAGTTATAGCTGTATAATGAGCAGACCCCATAAGCATAAAGAGTCTTCACATAAAACCAGTTGTCCAGTAAAAATCAGATAGGTAAGTAGATAAAGTAGGTGGGTTGTCATCAATTTCTTACCAAAATGTAGATTTAAGTAAGTAGCTATGTCGCGGAGAACCTAACGGGGGTTACCGGTGCTCCGGCTCGAAGTGCAGGTGAAGAAACGAGGTGGTTTTTAGTCAGTAAGAGTCTGACACTCCCTCCTGCTTCACTCAGGCGGAAGAAGTCATGTGACGATTTCCCCCCCTTAAAAAAAGTAAGTAGCTGTACTTGTCTATGTTTAATATTGCAATACAGTATTTTAAAGTGTGCAAAATATTATTATTAATTATGTGGTATCTTTAGACATCTCATATCTTTATAAACATTATTAACTTTAGTTAATTGTGTTGTAAAATGACGTTGTAGATTATTGTTTTTTTTTTATTTATGTGGGATATTTGTAACATAATTTATTTGTCTAGAGGTCGACGAAATAAGTGTCACCATATTGTTTAATCTATCTTATAACACCACATTGGCCAAATGGTCCTAATTGTGACAGTCGAAAATTGAGTCTTTCGGTTCAGACAAGTTTTCTTGATTTTTTTATTTTAGATTTTAATTTTTTCATTCAATAATAACAAGGAGTCTATATGGTGTGATATGGCAATATGTTCGTCTCTTAATTACCCTTTTTTAATAACAAACTTGTTACAGTAGACATCTTACATAATATCATAATATTATGTACAAAATTACCCTTCAATAAAATATTACATACACCTACAAAACACTACATTTAATTTGTAACTATGTTTATGATTGTACTAATTAACAACATTTGCACAAAAATCATAAAAACAAATCTGAAATTTTAGACAGTGTTAACCCACTTTATTCGCTTACTGTACCACATAATCGAGCACCGTAACCATGCAAAGTAAACACAACCTTGTTTTACATAACAATAATAACTATATTTCTAAGAACTAATCGTTTTGTGAATGACTTCCTTGTTTGTAAAAGGACCCTTTAGATAGATGAAATATGAGAAAAATGTACTTGTTTCACGGTAAATACAGATCTGCGTTACATGTACCTAAATACTTTCTAAGATCATTTAGACACCACTGACAAACGGTGATGCTAAACATCGTGAGGAAACCTGGGCTTATAATTTCTAATTACAAATTTAAAATGGCCAACCCACAATGAGCAAGCGTGGGGATTAATACCCAAACCTACTCCGTATTAGAAGAGGCCTTGCTAAACAGGCACTTATAGGGTGTTGATGATGATTGGTCTGCTTATACAAGGGACTATGTAGTATGCGCATGCGGCCCGCGTCTTGTTTTCATGTGGCCCGCGACACACATTTTAATCTTCACATCTACAATCTTATGTGCAACAACAATAATATAATTCAGTGTATTATCTGTATGCAAGTTTTGTCTGAGAGTAAAGAATACAAAGTTAAACGTCAATATACAACTGAAAATATTTTTCTGGCCCTTCAGCTTTTGTAAGAAATTTAATTATCCCACGAGGGTCCCTATGTGGTTTGGACAGCCCTGATACATATTAAGTATTTAGAAAAATCTACCAAGGGAGGTGATTAGTTAGTTACTTTTAGATGTAGCGTTTCAAAATCACTTTGGTAGTACAAAATAAATGAACACACAAATAATTGCAAATATTTTTTTTCTGGATACGATTAGAGAGAATATTAAAAATCAAAAACACTGATAAATATTTGACTGACTTATGAATCCAACCTGATACTCTGATGACTGATGCGGTCTCTGGCCACCGTAAGCCCGTGCTTGGAGATGGAGAGCAAGAGTAGCTGCCCACCGGGCTTATGCCGATACGGAGCCACGGAGAACTGAACGGGTTGCCGGGGCTTTGGATCGGAGTAGGAACGGGGTGGTTTTTGCCCATAAGAGTCTGACAATCCCTCTCGCCCCACCCGGGCCGGAAAAGTCATTGGATGATTATGGTAACAAAAAAGAACCTGATACTCTTCGCTCGTAATAGATACGTACCTAATTCGTAAGCTAAAAAAAATTATTCGACATTGAATTTTTACGTATTTTTCAGAGTGTGTGTGTAGAATAGGTACTTACTTACTTAAAATACTAGTTAATTAAGTTTTCACAGAAACGAATTTACATAGGTACTACATTATGTAAGCAATTTACCTATTAAATAAAGATAATCTTAAAAACATTACAATTTAAATGTTTTCATTTTTATTGTTCTCATTCTGAAATGGCGGCAGATGATGATCTTATTTTTTTTTTCTCTTTGGCAACTGAGTCTCTATTATTCCAATTCGATCTTGTCAACTATACTGCCAGTGTCGTGTGGTGTCGGCAGAATAATGGTATAAGTTAATGTCAATTGATACAGTTTACCTACACACATAAATTAATGGAGAAAAATCGACTGCTAGTTTCAAGTCACACCAGAACTCATATCCATTAGTTCATCTAAATATCATAACTATTTTAATTATTAATAATTGGTAAAGGGTTAAGAATAAGAATGAATGAATCTTTTGCTGAAAGACATGAAGTTTATTGAATATCATTTGATCTTTTTCATTTTCGGCCATCTGCCCTATCGGTGGTCCGTGGTCTATTATTGTCATCATTAACAGCCTACAAGTGGCCACTGCTGACCAAAGGCCAAGACCAAAGGCGTTTGAGCATTAATCACCACGCTTGCTTAATGCGGGTTGGCGATTTCAAACTTATAATTAGAAACCCAGGTCTCCTCACGATGTTTTCCTTAACCGTTTGTCAGTGGTGTCTAGAGATAATCTTAGAAAGTTATAACCCGGAAAGACTCACATTAGTAGGTACTCGCCGTTGGTAGGTTTCAAACCCGCACTCTCATGCATGAGAATCTTAAATCTTCGGGCCACCACGACATTATTCTAAGTTTAACAATTCATTCATTATTATCATCAACCGTCCTCTGTTGGCATAACAGCCTGTTCTGCCGGGATACCACCATAATCACGCCTGGCAGGTGAGCTTAATATTAGTGAACGCTGCTACCCAGTCTCCATCCATTGTGTAGTCCTTCAGCCGACTACGGTACCTGCCGGGAAAAAAGTTGAAGCTTTATACTTATACAGCCTTTGAGGTATAAAAAGGCGTTTACAATTATTTATTCCATTTCAAATGATACATTCAACATCCAAGAACAAATTATTTTGCTCATTTATTTCATACAAGCACGTTACGCAGCGCGCCAGTTGTAAGTACACAAAGTGCGCGTGCGTCTAAACCGCCGTCACTGACTCACGCGCAATTTAAAATTATAACAATAACATTGTAGGGCGTTCACATTACTTCGAGGTTTTAATCTCGACGTCTATTACAATTTTAATATGTTAACAATTTGACCGCTAACTAATTCCGGTTATTATTTATTTACTAGAGGTTGTTCCGGTGTATGAAATGAGAAATACATACCCACTATTTGTATGAAGAATATTAGACAATAATAGACATTATTATTAGGCTATTCTTTAACTTATTTACTTAGGGCAGTTATTGTATTTTTCCATCAAAGAAGTATACATTAGTTACGGTGGCATTGATGTCTATAAGTACCTAGGTAATTAGGTTCTTGCGCCTACACATAAATGAATGCAACATACCTAAGATAATAAAACTTATGTCTAATGAAATAATCTGTTCTGTATTTTTTCAAAGGTACCATTCCAAAATGTACGAATAGAAGTAGGTAGTACGTTTAAAGTAATCCCCCGTACGATCTGAACGTATTAAGCAAATTAAACAGTGGCGCATATAAAACATTTACACACGATTTTATCTAATCTTGTAATTACTGAACAAACTTTGTTATTTTAGCTTAATCCATGTTAACGGTCAGCGCTTATGACTACGTACGTACTAGATACTAATTAAATTAAAATTGGCCAAGGACTATTAGATAGTCTTTCAAATGGAGCCGTTGAATATTCTTTGATGTTTCAATTCAATACTCAAAACGGACTCTGCAGAACATTGTTTAAATTGTATATCTTAGATGATGACCCATAGACCTTACTTTTAAATAGTAGTAGGTACTCTTTTTGCTAACTTTTTCAAGTAACGCTTTGTCAAAGTTTCGATGCATTTATTTGACGACCACGCTTTCTGCACCCAAATGCAGCAACAGGTATTTTTCTTAGTCATTGTCATAAACAGTAACAATGCAATACCTATCTACTGCTCTGTATAATACTTATTTTTAGAACGTTACTCCATTTTTACAGATCATCCACGGGATCATAGTTATGATTCATTTATCGTATTTGTCGAAAACGAGCGCTGGTGAGTAACGTTTCTCCATAATACAAATGTAATTCTTTAATTTATGTTGTTTCATTTGTCAGTTCGACAAAGTTACGTGGGTGGATATTATATCAAGATATTTAGACTCCTCATCTGCCACTTCTCGATAAAAATAAGTAATAAGTGCATTAAAAATAATAAAAATATTAGCCATACAGTGCTGTAAATAGGACCTAGACAGGTAGTATACACTTACCTACCTGATATCCTAAAAATTTTACTCGCCGTCGAAGGCATTCAAACAGCAGACACCGGGACCTTCTTCATTTTTAGATTACCTATCTGTGATAGTCAATCTTAGACTTATGTACCTCTTCTGTTTGCTGATGATGATGATGATGATAAATCAAAATGGTGCGTATTGCAAACGAGGTCGAATGCTTTGTTCTTTACAACACTTCAGCTATATTATTACATATTACATACTTTAATAACAACAATACTAGCCATTTCTAAGTAAGTCAACACATTAGAATCCACGTTATGATATAAGATGGGATGAAGTTATGATATATGATATGATATAAAATGGGCCTTCCATTTAACAAGACATGAGCTTGTTGATACAATTATTTTATTTTTTTACACAAACTGTTATTTTTTGGTGAATAGACAGCTTCAAACCGGTTATGCTAGAAAGACTTGGTTTTACATCACTGTTATTTTCACAGATGATACATAAAAAAATGTGACAGCTTTTGGTTAGTCTTGTCAGTGTCAAAGTTGTCAATTGTCAACAGCGAAACGAATGGATGGATTATTTACGTATTTGTAATGAAATATTTTTGTTGTCTTTATTAAAACTAGCCGTTATTTATAGACATTTAGGAAAGCATTTAATAATTACTGGCAGGGATAACTGTACGTTTGGTATTATATTTAGTATTGTCTGTCGACAATGTAATTATTTAAAAGTAATGAATTTCATTTAACAATTTATTGTGTAATTTATGAATAAATTTTTACTTGCTTACAGTGTGAAAATTAATACGAAGATGACGTCTTTTCAAGACAGGCAAAAAAGCCTGTTCAATACTTTGAAAGAGGCTGAAGACCAATACAGTTTTTCTAAAACAAATAAAGCTACTCACCAAGACTATGGTACTATTGACAAATACACTTACAAGAAGTTGAAACATGAAATGAAACCATTTAGAGGCAGGGAAAGTATATACAAAAAGCCTCAAGCAAATATTCGTGAGTGCCTCAGAGCTAAAACTATTCCTGACCACATTAAAAACCCACAGAAGTATAAATATTATTCCTTGGCCGATGTCACTCCAGAACAAATGTCAGACTCCACAAATACTGCAACAGCACTAGCTCTAATACGTGAGTTAGAAGAAAAAGAGGCAGCAACACAAAAACCAATGGAAACTGACCTAGATGATGGTGTTTTTAAAAAACCCACATTCTGTATTTCTTCTTCTATGAAAAAATCACCCAAACCAGAAGAACCAGAAAAACCAGTATTTAAAAGCAATAAAGTGGTAATGCCTGAGTATGTGGTAGGAGTCACTAAGAAAAAAGAAAAGAAAGTAAATTTACTGAAAAAGGAAAATTCTAATAATGCTGCAAGTTCAAGCACTAAAGTGGAATTGAAATTAGATCATCTTTTTGAAGATGATGAATGATTTGTCGGCTTAATAATATATTAGTAACTATGGACTAAATTAGGTACTTACATTATTAAAGTAATAAAGATTTTCATAACTATGACTTGCTTTTGTTAAAATTATTGCAGTCAATGTAATTAAAATCCATTGAAAGCATGAACAGCTTGGTCTACCTACCTATCTTTAGAATTTCACATAATTATTTTCTTACTAAAATACACCAGTGCAACATGCTGCTTGGTGAAATAATAATACCCCCCCCCCCCCAATCCCTCATTCCCCAAAAATCCTCAAATCCCTAATCTCTAAAAGGCCAGTATCGCCTCTGGTGATCCGGGTGTCGATGGGCGATGCCTATTGCTTACTATCAGGTGAATCATCTGATTGTTTACAGACTTATCCCATAAAAAAATCGTACCTATTTCTAGAATCGACTGGCAAAAATGTATGTTTTATGACAAATACTTTATGCATATGCATAACCCTTTATGCACATAACTGCATGTTTGGGCTAATGCAATTACTAAACTGACTGCTGTGCTAAGTGTCCGACTGCATGTAATAAATTTTTTAGTGATCCTCGCTTTGTTGCTTGCAAAGGCACACATATATCTGCAAAACTACAAGTGTGTTATTACTAGAAGTAGTAGTAATAGGCTAGTAGACTAGTAACATTCAGGATAAATAAAATTCTCTATGTAAAATTAGTTAAATGCTTTATTTACATATGTATTAATCAGCACTGTGATATAATTGCAGATTCTGACTTTATTTCCAAATTTTCTGTCGGTTGAGGCTCCGTCTTGTTTTCTGCAGCAAAAGCACTGAGGTCTCGCATCATGGAGTAGGCGTCTTCACCATCAGCATAATATTTAGGCTCAATCTCAAGTATTTTAAAACCAAGACTGTTAGTGTACAAATTGAGTGCTGCTCTGTTGCTTTTCCTTACGTGCAGAGATACGTATTTAGCCTAAAATGACAAAAAATTAAAATTATAATTTAGTAAAAAATAACAGAACAATTTCACTTTATTATTATAATAATATGATTTTTCATGACTATTTTGCAAATATAACAAACACAATATTATATTTTTTACTATAATTGTAATTACCTTAAAACACTCCACCATAGCAAGTGAAGCTTGGTTCATAAGTTTCTGTGCGAGTCCAAGACGTCGGTGTGACCTTTTCACAGCGAGGGAGGTAATATGACCATGACGGTTGTCCTCACCATCTTCTTCCATTTTGGCTAATACATAGCCTGAAAATTAAAAACAAAATAATATTTAAATTAATTCTAGGACAGTGAATTGTGAATTTTGCTCAAAATTTCGAATTTTTTTTTGTTTGAAAGTTTGAAACATTTAACTCCTATGATAGCCCCACATGTTTTATTTCTACAATATTCAAATCAGTGTACAGAAAAACACCACTTTACAATTTAAATTGATGTGTCTAGAACTTACCAACAATATGTCCCTTCTCATCCTCAGCAACGTAACTGAGTTGCGGCCATGACAAGCCATGGTAGAAGTAGTACTTCATCTGATAGTTCTCAGGCAGGCACAGCAGATTGCAGTGCTGCATATTCATCAAGTCACTAGGCCTCGCACACCGAATATTCATTTTGATCTGTGAAAACAAACAGTAATTCTCTTATAATATATTTGTTTAGGACAATAACTTATGTCAGAATACTCAGAATCACTTAGATAAAATACCACGCATATCAATGTTTTAATGAATGTGAAATAAACAACAACATAAAAGTAGTTACATTTTATTATTCCTTTCGAGTTTTCTTTGATTTAGTTGGCTGCCTGACCTCAGATGCTGGTGGGCTATCTGACATGCCACCTAGCAGCTCACGCACAAATCGGAACTTCGATAAACAACACTTCCACACAATGTACCAGCCTGGAACAAAGAACAACAACAATGTCACTAATGACAACACTCATTAAATCCACCATTATCGTATTCGTACGATAATTAGTTAGTAACATATTGAAATCACAAGCATGTTGGGCTACTTACAAAATAACACAAAGACAAAAACTAAAAATACGCTACATACGAAGGTTACAAGAGCTAATATCACTTCCTTCATATCTCACTAAGCATAGGTTAATACATAAACACGAGGTTAATACATCCACTTTACCAGAACAATCACTATCTCTTTATTTAAATTATCAGTCATAAGAAGTCAGATTTTTAACGTGAGCTGTTTACTGCTCGTGATTTTTGAAGCGCCATTTTGGTTCCATAAAGCGCAATAATAAAAATGTTCTTTGTTTATTATTCTACCAGAAAACAAATAACGGTATAAAAGGCCTACAGATCAAATGCAATAATGGTACTAAAATTTTATTGTACATACTTTTAAATCTTAATTTTCTTCAAAACAATGTTTTTCTTCCGACCTAACCTCTAAAATATGACATTAATAAATTCGTCTGAAAAGTGATTTTCGGCTTGCTACCACCGCTGCCATAGAGTATTTTTAGAAAAAGTTATCAATAGATAAAAAGCCGATAGTCCAAATACCTATAGTTGGCACAAATGTAGTGGCGAATGGTGGTGTTTGACATTTTGTTTTGTTATTGTAATGTAAATAGTACAAAATATCACGAGAAATTGAAACTGTTGTTATATTAAAACGATATATAAATAAAAATGGATGAGGAGGGACAAAACGAAGCTGCGGTTCGGGCGCTTCTGTGAGTAAATCATAAAAGGCGGTATAATTATTTTCATTAAAATTTTCTACCCTCTCAATAAGTAGGTAACATTAATTATTCAATGTTACAGCCGGCACAGAAGTCCTACATTTAACAAGGAAGAAGTGAAGGCGTTATTTAGTATTGTCGATAAATATAAGGCTATAATTTTTAACAAATCAACTACTGCTGTTGCTTGCCGTGCGAGAGAGGTGGCTTGGTTGAAAATAGCTAAAGAATTTAATAGACAAGGAATCTGTTACAAAAGGACAGCTGATTGTTTAAGAATAAAATGGGATAATATGAAGAAGAGGGCCAGAATGGCAATGTCGAAAAATTTAATGGACTTAGGGCAAAATGAGTTTGATGAGATGACCAGTCAAATGGTGGCCATGATGTGTGAGGTGGAGAACAACACTGGTAATGTGGAAGACCCCGTGGAGTCTGGTGAAGACTTGAATGGTAAGTAATTCTTAGAATGCATGTTTAACTCGTCGAGTACCGTCAATATAGACACAATTATAGAACAATAGGTTGCGGTCACCGGTGACCACTTGGTGTTTGAAGGTTTAAATTAAATTTGATTTTTTTATTTACATTACTAATTATTTGTGCAAGTACAACCTTGTGTTATCTTATGAAGCTGTAAGTTGACTATTTCTGATGTCATCTATACTAAAATTATAAAGCTGAAGAGTTTGTTTGTTTGAACGCGCTAATCTCCGAAACTACTGGTTCGAATTGAATAATTCTTTTTGTGTTGGATAGTCCTATCGAGGAAGGCTATAAAACATCACGCTACGACCAATAGGAGCTAAGCAGAGCGTGTGAAACCGCGCGGAAGTAGCTATTAAACTGTTAAACATAACGCTAACATTCATAGACTCAATAACTATAAAAGTGCAGATACTCCCCAGTCCCCACACTACATTATTTTTTATCTACCTTCAATTCATAATTATTTTAATTACAGTTTCAGAAAATGAAAATCAGAAAGAATCAAATGATGGACCCTGGAATGACAATGAAGACAAGGATTCTAATGATTCTTCAATTGGTTTGTAATTTATTTGTTTTTATGACTTCAGAATGTTTAGCGTTTTTTTTATTTAAGGGGGGAAAATCATCGAATGACTGCTCCCGCCTGGGTGAGGCGGGAGGGAGTGTCAAACTCTTACTGACTAAAAAGCACCCCGTTCCTTCTCCTGCACTTCGAGCCGGAGCCCCGGTTACCCGTTAGGTTCTAGACATACATAAAGACAAAACAAAACTATATTTTTGACTTCGATTCTGATTGTAGATTACAACCCAAATAATCTTTTAAACATAATATATGAAATGTACAATTTTGACTTTACTTCGATTTTATTATAATTATGTTGAGATATGAAGTCTTGGATTTAGTTTATGTTGGATAAAGTTTAAGTAAAATATAATGACAAAGTTTGTCAAGCTGATATGATGATGTGCGTGTCTTACTCTTATCTAACTTAAAAATGTTTTTTGTTTACAGATGGCGGTAATGAAAGGTAAATTATGATTATTGATTTCATTTTATATCTCTTTCTATATTCTTATTTCGCTTTTTTCTTCCTCAAATTAGAAGTTTATTAATTCAAGAAGTGCCAGTGATAACTAAATAATGCTAACCCAGGAACAACTTAGAGATTAATAAACTTAATCAATATGAAAATTCTTATGACAATTGTGTGAAAATCTAAATATTATGTTAATTTAGTTTGCTGTGGATTGCTTAACTTATGAGTTTCTTACTCGTTCTTCTCCATAAAAATCTTCTTTGGAACAAACAAATAGCTTCACTAGAGGACTGACTGACAGACGGGCATTTTCAAATATTTTAATATTTTGTTTTGACGTTCAAAAGTGCCTTCCTGGTCTAATTGATATAAATAATTTTGACTGTTGACTTTTCACTATTGTAGTAGAGATATAACAGAATGTACCTAACAATGCAACCCTTTTCAAAAGCGCATTTTAAGCTTGACATCTTACGTAACTGTTTCATGAGGGAACTCAACTATGTAGTTCTTCAAATAAATATGAAAAAAAAAATGTATTACAGATTTGTAAGCCGATCAATAAACTTCTCACCAGAAGAATGTAATTTGCTACTGCAATGTGTGAGGCAGGAGAAGAACATTGTATTATCAAAGACAAACACAGCAGGCTTTAATAAAATGAGGAATCGGGCTTGGGAACGTGTAAGTATGGTCTACTTAATGTTTTGTTTCTAATCAATGTAAATGGCCTATGTGCAGTATTTGTAAACTAAGCCTCGTCAATTGCGTTGTGTGCGAAAGCAACTGCCTGAAGTGATCCACTTATCGCAATTGGGTAGTATCCAGGGTATCAAAATTAAAAATCTAATTAGTCCGTCAGTTAGATAATGAACAAATATTAGACATGTTTTTTTATTTTCTCGTATTATGTTGCAATACTTAGATAAAATTGCGCTAAGTTTAGGAGTGGGTGGTTGTTACGTCATAACGTGGTACAAAATTTAGCACGCTGTGACGTCAAACGATATTTCAAATTAATATATCGTCGAAAGTATTTAATTTTGTAAGAAAAGAAAAAATACGTGTCTAAAGTTTTAAATTAATGTACCTACCAGACGGACATTAAAATAAAATTTAGGAAACTACCCTATTGTAGTGAATGAATAGGTTGCTTATGGTAGACATGCTTCATCATAAGCATCATCTTTGCTTACCACCAGCCAAGATGGCCAAATGTCCACCCAACAAATATAAAAGTATTTTTCTTGCTTAAAAACCAGAAAACCTCAAAAATAGATTAAATAAGATTTTTTTTCTGTTTCAGATATCAAGTTCATACAATAAACTGAGTCCTCAAAAGCGTTCCCCAAAAGTGCTCAGAACTAAGTTTTCTAACATGAGGAAAATGGTAAAAAGTAATAATATCAAAGCCTATTTCAAGGAATTTGCAAAGAAAAGGCAGACGTTTGAAGAATCTGGTAGTGTAAGCATTTTATCTTTATTATTTTATTATACATTATACAACATCAAATTCCAAATATGTAGTTTTTAAGATATCAGTTGCTATTTAGCAACTGCGGTAGCACTGTAATTTTATAGCTGTCATTTTAAATTAACTCCATTGTTGATTATGAAAACTATGACTGTCTATGCCTTAACCATTTTATTTTTATTGTTTTTTTTTTCGTCATCGCCAGTCTGTCAACAGCATTTTTGACTTCAAATAGATACAGAGGAAATATAAAAAACTTTTTTTGAAACAGCGAGTTTCATGTAGCCATAAGACATATTATAACTACACTGCGTTATCGGTTATTCACTCCCAAAATTCGAAAATCTCTTACTTTTCACAACTATCTACCAGAAACCGTGTCATTCTCATAGTTGTGCTTGCAGCCGATCAACCAACGATTCAACATAATCAAATTATTCAAATTAAATTGCAGAAAATAAAATCGGAGCCTATATATGAGTGTCGGAGCAGCCTGGATGCTGACAACGACAGTGACCTGGACGACCAGATGGAAGCTGACAATAAGTCCACCACCAGTGATGCTGAAGTCAATACCACCCTAGATCCACTCAGCACTGTACTGAATACTGACCTAGGATTAAGTAAGTAGTCTTTATGTATTAATGATTTTAAATGATTGCGAGTAGGTACTTAAAAAAAGAAAGAAATTTACACACAGAAAACTGTACATTAATTCAAAAGTTAATGTAGAAAGTGTACAATAATACAAAAGTTACTGTACAGAAACGTGTACATTAATTCAAAAATTAATATACAGAAAAGTTTACATTAATTCAAAAGTAAAAGTACAGAAAGCGTACATTAATTCAAAAGTGTTAATTAATTCATACATTAATGTACAGAAAAGTGTACATTAACTCAAAAGTTGTTTTTTCCTTTTATACTATAATCTGTCTTTGGGACGTTCAGCATTATGTTGGACGTTACTGAGCTCGCTGCCATTGCAGCTTTAAGTCCCCTCTTTGAGGAGTGGTTTCAGAGACGCTGCGTCCTCACCTACCGCCTGACGCAGGTCTTCACCGGACATGGAAGTTTCGGGAGGTACCTGTGTCTGATGTAGCGGAAGGAAACGCCCGGGTGTCATCGCGAGGACCGCCCTGAGGACACGGTGGAACACACAGTAGGGGAATGCCCTGCGTGGGCTGAGCACCGCCGTGCCCTCAGGGACGTGATCTTGTCACCTCCTTTTGCGAAGCAGTCATGCTAGCTAAGGAGGAGGCGCGTGAGGCAGCGAAGCGCTGCCTCCTCGCAACTCAGCCATTGTCCGTTACCCAGGCCAGATGTTGTCGAAGTGTTAAGTAATTGATGTTGAAGTGTTTTTCTATTTAATGAAATAACCTTTAAGCTATGTATTATTTTGGTGTTCATTGCAGAACAAACTTAAACTAATTCCTAAGAAGCCTTGTACAAAATATGATAAGAATGCGTGCGAATGATAAGAAAACCAAAAACGTCACTCCAGCAAAATCTCGAATAACTTCGCAACCGATAAAAGAACAAATACAAAATAAGGCACAACATTTACTTCATCTAGACAACTTATTTTATAGCTAGTAAATATTTAAATATTTCCATTACAAAGAAATAGGTAACGTTAACGTTCTAGGGGTAACGTTACTTCAGCAGGAAATGTTTTTGTGAAATAATTAAAAAACTATAAGCGCACTAAATGTAAAAATGTGCGCAACAATTACAGAACCTGCAATACCAATTATCTATAAGATTCAAATGACCATTTTCGACAACATCTGGCCTGGGTAACGGACACGGGGACATGTACCTCACCTTAACGTGAATGTGACATTAACGGACTTGGTTTCGTAGGCCTTTATCCGTAACTAACTCAGAAGTACATTAGTACAGAAAAGTGTACATTAATTTAAAGTTAATGTCAACTGTCTACTGTTACGGTCAACTCTTTTCGAGTTATTGTTCCTTTCCTATCTTTTTTATCTGTCACTAACAGATAAATAATAATTTTCTTTTTCATTATTTTACAGGTTCCATTAGCCAATTAGAAAATAAGGAAGTAGTGAAGTTAAAAATAGATTTATTGAACTACAAACTAGAAACTGCTAAGGTAAGCCAGTTAACTAACGAGATTCACCTTTATTTTAAAGAGTATAAAGTGTATAATTATAATATATTTTTAATTTACAGTTGAAAAGAAAAAGGATAGAGGATTTAATGCAAGCGGACGCGGCTGAACGTGAGTCGAAAGCTAGAGAGAGTGCTTTGAAGTTAAGGGCAGCAAGGCTAGAAGCCGTTGCAGCAGAAATGAAGTTCCCTCCAAGCCATCCCGCCCTCTCATATACAGCCGAAGAAACAAGAGCACAACACTACCTACACCAGTACCACACTAGTTGAAAGTGTTGCCAGTAAAAGTTATTGTTAAAATCGCAAAAGCTTCCATCTACCCTGAATTTAAGATAATATTTTGATTAATATTATGTTGAACTGAATAATGAATAAACAAAATGTGTAAATATTATTCTCAAAAGCCACGAGGTTAATTTAATAAGACAATATTGAATTTCGAATAAAAAGATATGAGAAAATTTAAATGTGTTTTATTACAAAAGTATTTATTTATGTACTTACCTAAATACAGTGGCTTCACTCATGACTAAGACTATCTCTTCGAATTTGCCTTTGTCATACAAACCTGTGTCTGACATTTAGTATTGTAGCTATGTTACTATGTTCTGTCCCCCGTTTTATTCACAAGTGGCATTGTTTGACGGTTCATCCTTGTTTGGTCCAACAACGGTTCGTCGAAAATCACTACATCGAATTTTAGTTACAATAAAGTGATTTTGTAGAATTATTCCTTTGACCGAATAATGCATTTTTAATTTTTATTTAGCATAATTATTTATTTGAACTAATTTCATTACACCGAATTATCAAATACACTAATTTTATTGAAACTAATATTTTTAATATAAACAGCTAAATGGTATAAAAAGATTTGAAAAACAGTTAGTGATACAGCGCTCGGCGGCCGCTGACGGGGCACCGCTCGCTACGCTCGCTCGCCTCGCGCCTTGTGAGAGGATCACAGTTTTAACCTAACCAAATGTGTCGGGTGCCCAAAATATTTTGCTAGAACATTTAGATTTACTAAAAGCAATTGCAAATAATTTAAGATTAGTTTAACTGTTTTCTAGTTCAAATTATAGCATCTGAACATTACATCAAATGCATCTTTTGATCATTAGCGCAAATGTCGTTAGAGCAAATAAATATTCGCCGAACTGAAAATTCTGTCAAACAATATTATTAAGTGATGATTTTACTTAAACGTTGTTCGATAATATATCAAACGTTAATGGATCAATTCAACCCTGTTTGACGTCCAATTTTCACTTTTTTGCTTTCGTCAATCTTATTCAACCAAAAACCTGCGTGTGATAAACTAGCCAAGTCTCGATGGAGCCGCTTGTCCATCTCAAAAAAGTAATGACATCTAGACCAAGTCGTGCCAAGTCTAAGGTTACTTACTGCGATTTGTTTATCGGTGCTTGGGAGGAAGCACAAGATCCTATTGGTGTCTTTTGTGACCTCTCAAAAGCGTTCGATTGCGTTGACCACGAGACACTTGCTGAAATTAGATCACTACGGGATCAGAAATACCGCACTCTGTCTAATAAAGTCTTATTTAGAAGAAAGGCTATTAAAGGTTCATGTTAACGGTATTAACTCACAGGGCTCTGGGATGAATATGGGCGTTCTCCAAGGTTCAATATTGGGTCCCTTTCTCTTCTTAGTCTATATAAATGATTTGCCTGGTGAATGAACCAAGAATGGTTTTTGCAGATGATACTTCATTAATTCTTAAAATAAATCGACATGCTAATAATCTTGACGACGTAAACAGCAACATACTTCGAGTGGAAAATTGGTTCACCATTAATAATAATCTAGCGCTTAATAATAAGAAAACCAAATGTATTAAATTTAGTTTACCAAACTTCCGAAGTAGGTATTGATTGTGATGTTGTTTTGAACGGCCAAAAGTTAGGATTTGTCGACGAGACAGTATTTTTAGGCATTACATTAGACAATAGGCTACAATGGGGCTCGCAAATTTAAAACATACATTAAGCGCGAATTGTGTAAACAAGCTTACTACAGAGTGATTGATTATCTTGAGGATTTTTTTTTAAGGGGGGAAAATCATCGAATGACTGCTCCCGCCTGGGTGAGGCGGGAGGGAGTGTCAGACTCTTATTGACTAAAAACCACCCCGTTCCTTCTCCTGCACGTCGAGTCGGAGCCCCGGTTACCCGTTAGGTTCTCCGCGAGGATAGGAATGCTTGGCAGCGTATTGGTTCGGCTCCACTGGACAATATTCAAATGTAGTCAGTACCTACTTCAGATTCCGATAATAGATAAAATTTAATACTTTGATTCCGATGAAAGCAATCTATTTTTCTTGCGGCATCGAGCATTTCTTTCTTTATTTAAACAAGAGTTTATTTTTTTTTTCTTGTATAGAAGCACTATTTTATATGGATTGTCAGTATTATATATGTGAGGACCATGTCAGACTTAATATATTTATTTTCTCTTGGTTTTGTTTTTTATTTTAGTACGTTCTGTTATTTGTATGATGCGTCAGGTATGTCTTTTACATTATTTTCACATGCGTGTACAATATTGGAATATGTATCAGAGCAGTGTAAAACAGACATTTTTTAAAAGAGTAACGAATGGAGTTTCTTGCTCGTTCTTCTCCACTCGAATCGACATTTTGGAACGAGCGCCTAGTTTCACTGACGGACAGACTGACAGACTATTATTTATTTCATATTTGTTGACGTTTCAAAAGCTCCAAAGTATGGTTTAATTGAAATAAATTCTTTTGAGTTTGAGTTTGACTGACAGACTATTATTTATTTCATATTGGTTGACGTTTTAAAAGTACCAAATTATGGTTTAATTTAACTAAATGCTTTTGAGTTTGAGTTTGACTATAGTTAATGTTCTGTGACTTGGCCGTTAAAGGGTACACAAGGGTGCAAAACCAGGTGTTAGACACCATTTTACCAATCTGACGCCAGAACTGCTGTTTATTCAATCGCTTTTTCCTGGTGGCAATTTTCCATCTTCAAGGGGGAGCGGTTGTCTGGTTGGGCTCTAGTGGTTTCTAACCAGGGTCGCCAGGTACATACTATCTTCGATTATCCTAGTTTTTATAGGTTTCCCTTTATGTAGCTCTCGGAGTTTATGGGAATTACCAGTTCTATTTGGATGATCATGAGTGAGTGTTATAAATGTCATAAAATTGCTTTTGCATAACTTTCGAACCAAATGACTTGAAATTTTGGAATTTAAATATGTAATTGTAGCTTACGGGATTATAAAACATTTTGCGTTCTAGTCTTATCCAAAGGTTCTCAAATAGGAGCCTGAAAATGCGGCGAAATGGTTGCAGTAAAGGATTTAATGTAATGTATTTAAATAAGGTGGTAGTCGAGCGCGAAACAAACACGCCCGTGTTGTCTTGATATCTTCTTTTTAAGAATCGTTCATCATTGATATAAAATAGGTATATCAGTGCGGTTCATTCAATATTGTTTTGATATTACTTTAAATTATAGGGTTATAAAATAACACACAAGTCGTAGATACGAAAATTTTGTATATTTTACTTGATTGCGTTTTACAAGATGATTAAATTATAATTCAATATTAAAATTATTAATATGCATTTGTACAATTTCATCTATACCTAACTAAACTACAACGTCTAAAATATATTACACATCGCTAATATACAACATGCTTTTTACATTGATATATCCCTACGTCTATCTACTAGAGTCATATGTATAAAGTACAAAACGTAGGTACGTACATACAGTAACGCTATTGCGGTAAGTAGGTAAGTAATGACAAGCCACAAGTATATAAAGGTGAGCTTTAACATAATTTATTATAATTGAGCTGTCGAGTCAGTCTAGCGGCTAACGAACATATTCCCTTCAGACCTGACCTCCGCACGAATGTTACACACAATCATACTTTGTTAACTTTGAGCCATTTGCAAGGAACATTCAAACAATTGTTTAGTTGTAAATAGTAAAAGAATATTGTCACTGTTAAATTCATTTATGCGACGACCCTCACTATTACGGCTATCGCCACACGAGATAGGCAAAAGGCATCCACAGTTCTACATTTCTGGCCCAATTCAATTATCTCAATAGGTGTTGTTAACATGACCACAAATTGTAGCACATCCATTTATTACTTTAGGCGCACAACTGTGCTCGCATAATTACATCGTGAATCAGCAAGAAAGCGATGAGACATCGCAACAGCGTTTCATTTAGCACAAGCGTATGAGCACATACGATAATATTATTCACTTGCATTCGGTGCATCATCATTTTCATAAGTTTTAAGTAGTACACCTATAACTCGTATAAATTAAAACGTCTCGTTTCATTTTGGCAAATGCCTCACTTTACAATTTCACTAACTCGTTCTACGAATATGGTTCTGTTGCAAAATTGTATAAAACTGGACGGACAACTCAACTCACTACGGCAATATGAGCATCCAGCAACTTTTAACTCGCCCTGCTAGTCCTCGGCGAAACGCTTCACAAACAAAAAGTCCTAGTAGCAGCCTTCGATTTATCATAAAAGTATAAATACTAACATTTAAATAGAATTTACTGCAATTTTCTCGTCAACGTTCCGGCAGTCTAGGTGGACAGGCTTCAGGCCCGTCTCAGCTTCTTTGGTAATGCTACTCATAGGGGGTGCCACGAGGGCGTCCACTCCACCCGAACTGCTTCGTGGCTAAGCGGACGCCAGGCCTAGCGTATCTACAAGAAACGCCCCGCAGGCGAGGTACGAACAGAACCACGACCAGCGCAAGGTCTTCAGTCTCATCACCTTCCTGGGGGCGTGAGGATCGGGACTGACGGATAGCTTCCAGCCCGAAATGGTCCTCCTGCTTACCCGTGGTTACAGGTAAGATTATTCGGCGTCGAGCCACACATACTGAGGTCACCACCGAGGGTTTATATCTGCAGCGTGGGCGGCGAGGCTAGCGGCGTGAGTGGCGTGAGCGGCGTATGGGGCGCTGAGGGTGGCACGGGCGTGGCGGGGGAGTGCGAGGGCGCGGGCGAGTGCGGGGGCGGCGCGGGGGGGTCCGCCGCCCGCACCAGTACGCGCCGCAACTCGGCCGCGCGCGCTGCCAGCGCCCGCGCCGCCTCCGCCATGTCGGCCACTGCGCCCGCGCACGGGAACTGTTGCGCGGCTGCCTTGGTCTTAGCCACCGTCGCTGCCAGCGCATCCGACAATGCATCCGAACATCTCAGTGCTTGGGTCTTCAGTCCAGCGTGGCGGGCACTCCTGTGAACGAACCAAATGTCAGTTATAGCAAACAACAAAATTTAATTCAAATCGAACGGGGTCTCCGAGGAGGTTAAATATTTAAAGCTAATGTAATTCTGTACCTGTGTACTGTGTCGCCGACGTGCACGATCCGATGCGCACTGAGCACGACGAACTTGCCGTGTGCTAGGAACACGTCGGGCGGCTGCCCCATGTCTATCGTGCGGAGGAAGGCCTCCACGGCGGTGGCGAGGTGCGCGCCGTAGGTGGCGGCCTGCGCGGCGTAGAACGCGGCCAACTGGCGGTCGTCCGCGGGCAGTCTGGTGGCGGCTGCCACTGCGCTCACCTACAAGGAATAATTAATTGTAAGCATACCTACTCCTCTTTATTTCAAACATGATTTCTAGTCTTTTGTTGTGTGCTATTAACTATACAAATTTCTGCATCCTTCAAAGCAAGTTTCTTCAAAATAATTGATGCTCACCTCGCCCGCATGGTCAGCATCTCGAACAAGCGCGTCGAAGGAAGCCCTAAGTTTGTCCGGCAGTGCAGCCCTGATCTCTGCGTTACGCCGGCCTACCGCCGAGCGAGACTCCAGTCTTACGTAGTCATACTCCTCCGTCCACTCATGTTCTGGTACAGGTACAGCCGGTGATCGCCTGCAAGAAATTATTACACTTTAATAACAATTAAACTTTAACCAAGTAAAATTTAAACACAACCATTTTGGAAATAGTGTTTAGAAATGACGTTATTCTTGATATCTTACCTAAACAACAGCGATGCATTGCCGTTGATAAATGAAGCTGCTCTTCTCACATCCTCAGTTAGGGACCGCGCACACGACACTAACTGATCCAGTGCGTCTTCAGTCCCGTCCGTAGGCTCTCTGTCTCTCTCCAGTCTCTCGGGTGCCCAGTCTCCTGCGTCCAGCGCGCTCGTCGCTTCGTGCGTTATGCGTTCTGCATCCTTCAATGCTTTCACTAAAGGACGTAGCTTTACTGCGATACCTGGAATATTGTGATGGTGGTTAGTTACCAAGACTAGTAAAACAACTTTAAAGTTATCTGGTATTTAGGTCGCTTGAAAATGCATGGGGCAGAAATTAATTTAAAAAGTAGTAATTACCTTTATCTTGTGCATCATGTGCATTGGCGAGCGTGGCATCTGCGAAGACTGCGAGGTCGTGCAGCGCGGCCCGCAGCCTCGCGCCCGCCACGCGCACGTCCAGCACGCGCGCCCGCAGCGCGCCGCGCCGCCGCCACCCCGGCGACACGTACGATAACAGGCGGGATACTGCAGCTGACGCCTCCTCCTATAATAAGATGACGTTAAACTTTATTAGAACCTAATCATTTGAAGGAGACACCATAACTGCATAACTTAAAAGTCCGTCTCGAGCGCGTTTTTGGATATGTGACAAAAGGAATAACATTTATGTGGTCAATTTTGAGGCGGATACGCACCTCTCTTTTTGCTAAATAATTCTGTGACCAACCTGTAATCTGTCGAGAGCTTCAAGTGCAGCGTCACAGGGCAAAGGTAGTGCTCGTGATCGAGGAACATCATAAGTGCTTGAGGCTGAAGCAGCGGAATGTACAGAGCTCCCAGAGTTTGCTGAAGCACTGGAGGTAGCAGAGGCTAGGGAGCCGGTGCCACTACACGCGGAGTCTGCACTGGCCGGCCGGGGGGCTCGCGGCGCGTCGTACCAGTCTACTAGGGGTCTCGGGGAGTCGTACATGCCGATGCGCTGCACTGGCATAGGTGCACGAGGAACGTCATAGTGAGAGCATTCTTCGATCTGTTGGTTAAAAGAAGTTGGTTTAATTTTGGTATTAACCCAGCTTTCCAGTTTAGAACTTTTATAGCTGAAAGTATCTTTTGATTTGAAGTGATGTCCTTAGAACTCACTTTTGTAAAAGCAGGTGACTGCTGCGTAGGCATGGGCTGGTGAGCTACGGGTGCTGGCGCCCGCGCCCGCCGCCGCTGCATCGCACCACTCGCGTCGAATACTCCTGCTACTATCCTTAGTCTGTTGCCGGGACATATTCCCTGGAAATAACAGAAGAATCAATTAATATTTATTTAAGAGCACAATTATTGCTTATTCACATTAATAGGGTATTTACTGAATTTTACTGGTTGTGGTCAATCAAGCAACAAGTAAACAAGTAAACAAGATGACATAAACCGAGTGGCCTACGTGATGTTTACAACCCTCCTGAGATGAAGGCTTACACACGTGAGACTAGGAAGTTCAATATTCCCTGAATATGACGTCATTTTACCGCAAATGGTCTTCGAAAACAATATTATTGTAACCAACTTTGACCGTGACGCTGCCTTAGGTAGGCAACTGGCGACTTGAGGTGCGTCACCAAAAGATAAAGTATATGGAGGATAAATAATTTGTAGTATTTAATACGTCCTTATTTTATGAATGGAAGTTATGATTACAACCGCGTCAATAGTATTTCATATCTACACACATGCTCAGTAACGTAAATATTTACCGAGTATAATTTTGTGCAGGAAAAGTCCATTCCAGAGTCCTATCCATCTAAAAGGCTCAAGTAATAAGTAAGATATCTCGAGTTACGTATTTCAAGGGTCATTTCAATTCTAATAAAACTTTAGGACCTAAGACGGACGAGTGATCACTTTGACGATAAACGGCAAAGTTTTGGACAACAATTCAACTTTAGGGTCCAGGGCACATTTTGAGATTTTCTCAGAAGATAAATAGAAACAGTTGATGGATCACGTAAAGTGGACGAATAGGTACTGATATTTACTGAGTTTTGAATTTTTTGGCATTATCTCTCAGATGCTGCTTATAGCAGGATAACCAAGAGATAACTAGGTTTTCGAAGTAGCGGACAGAGAACGGAGAACCTAAATTATAAAATCGTACTGATATTCACAATCACAATCACAATAATCTACATCATTATATAAAAGTATCTACAGAATTAATGCCTATCACAATTTGGCTTAATCTGAACTAAGATAAAATGAATAGAGCAGTTACCTGTCTCCCTCTAAGTGAGCACAGCCACCAGCCCTCGCTGCCTCCGGTGTTCTGCTCCAGCACGGTGAGCAGGTCGCCGCGACGGAAAGCCAGCTCGTCCGGCGACTCCGCTATGTTGTCGTACAACGCTCGCGCCATACACTGCAACAAACATACTTTCATAAGTAAACAGACACAAACCGTATTAAGTTCTTAGAACTTCATTTATCATCTGTTCCATTGCTGGTTAAAGCCTTTTGTCTTTCAGAGGAGGACAGAATGAGCAAGCATTAATCGATATGCGTAGTTGCTTCCTCAACAAGGCAGCTTGGAAGTTATAGGGATTAAATTTCGAATGTTCTCTTTAAGTAGATCAGTTTACAAATAGAAGATCGTTATAATATATGGCCCTCAATCTTACTCAAAATATAAAGCAAACCATCACAGCATCTTGACTTCTAACTGCGCAGTTTGCGGCATAAGCTAAGAAATATTACAAGTTTAAGAGCAAAAAAATAAGCTTAACATCCTCAAGTTTTCCCATTTTCCGAGTAATCCTTACAAATTATAACTTCCAAGTTTATTTTTATGAAGTCTCTCTGAATAAACATTTTCCATACTCCTGTTGTGCAGTTAAGATTAAAAGGATTTATTGTACCTACTTAACCAACCTCTTGTTTTGCCTTGGGTTTTGGAAGAGCAATTTTCGAGAAAGAAAACCGACGCACAGTAACGTAAACAATAAATCGGTAAATTACTCATTTATTATTAAAAAACGTATTAATTACTATTTCTGGAATAATGGAAACGCTTAGTTGCGTCCTACAAAAATGTTTATTTTATGTCATTTACGCAGTTCTTTCTTCAGAATAATTGCCTTAGTAATGAAGACTGTTTTAGTTGTCAGTTGTGACTAATTCTTACTACTTGCGCTTTAACATTGAATCATCCCTTTCAAAGGTAAGTACTTAAGCTTTTAAACAATATAATACTTTAAAGTTAAAAATAGATGGTTACCACTACCTAAAGGTACTACCTAACTATAGAAAATTGGTCCTAAGTACGATTTTATAAAGCATGAAATAATTTTCGGTACGTCCATTGTTAAATATTTAAACAAGTCAATCAATTACACATTGGCGAAACAGCAGCAGCCAGTCCCCATAATTTTCACATTAGTATTGGGCTCCGCCCACGTTGTGTTTGGGCGCATATGTTGCGCTGGCGCAGGCCGCAGCTGCAGCGGAACGGGCGCGTCCTAAATCAGCCGATAATGACGGATCGCATTGTGCAACGAGAGATTGTGGGCGACACGCGACGCGTGTTGAGGCAGGCCGTGTCCGCTTCCGATCTATGCAATCATTTATGCAACCGATAAGGGTGACTGACAAAAGGTTGGCGAACTTGTATGTTTTGTTAATTAACTCGTCGAGTACCGGTTTTGTAGACACAATTATAGAACAATAGGTTGCGGTCACCGGTGACCGCTTGGTGTTTGACAGTTTAAGGGGCTTTTTAATTCACCGTTTACAAAAGAGTTTTAGGGTAGAGTGTAGATATACACTGTAGCCTGACACGTTACTTAATTATATTTTAACGATATTCGAGATCATTTTATAAACTCGGTAATGGTTGGTACTTAAAATAATTTCAAATCGATTCTTCCTTTAACAATGTAGATAGACAAAGACATAAACATAACATAACATCACGCCTTTTATCCCCGAAGGGGTAGGCAGAGGTGCACATTAAACCACTGTATAATGTAACACCCACTTTTCACTATTTATGTTATGAGTCCCATGTAATAGGGGGTGAGATAGATATGAGATAGACAAAGAGCCTTTAAAAAATGTTATTTACCGGATTCGTCCATATGGCAGTAATTTTCCTAACTTCAATGTATCTCCTGCACCGACACATGATTACACAAAACGACACTATCACAATCAAACTACGAAACGAAACAAAACTGCTACTCTCAGTAGTGATGCACTCGTAATAAAATAACGTTATAATTAAACCAGAGACACAAGTATTCACTGCGATGAGTCCCGACGTAATGATTGAAATAATAACCATTGGAAATAAGTTAAATATATAATACATTTGTATTGAATTTATTAGAAGTGGTTCGTGCGCATGAGTCACTCGGCTACGTCATTAATGCGTGCGAGTATCTACATTATAAAATGAACTACAAAACTATAACATTATTTGGGTAAGGTCTAAGGTAGATACTGGACCACTGCATGAATTATGATTTAATCAATTTTTAGTTAATCAGCTGGATTGTATTAATTAAGAAAAATAGGAAGTCATTTAATGGAATTAATACAGGTACGTGACTGATGTTTAGCGGTCACACAATAGGTATTAGGTTCATTTTTAAGTCCAGTCCATTCATATAAGGCAATGCCGCAATAGGTAGGTATTATCTACCATGCCTAACTAAGGCAAAGCAGCGAGGATTATCATGTCATTTTGACTCACATATTAGGAAATATTAAAACAATTAGGTATAATTAACGTTTATAAATTCAGCTTTTATGGTAATAAATCAGACGATTTAATGACACAACACTGTTCATTATCTACTCGATTTTAAGTAAGTATTAGGTACCAATTATAAATAAATTTATGATTAATTAAGAACTTTGATATACCCAAAAATCAGGGACCTAAAGTTCCAACTGCGGGGTTTGTCAAATACAAGTAAAGAAGAAGGGGTTTGCAATGGTACCCGACATTACGTATTACCCACTATTTATGTCACATCGGTAATTAAATGAGCGATAAAACTACTGGCTAGACATGCTATGATGCTAATAATACATTTAATGAACAATAACATAATTTAAATGGCTCTGGGTACACTATAAAATATAAATAGCACATTCATTACAATTGCCTATCGCCGGCGACCATAAAGTAATTCGTGCTCAATTCTACACATCATGTAGAGGAGATAATCAATTTAGGTATTCTGTCTACAGCTAGAAATCAATGACATCAACTAATTTATTGACGCAATCAACCGCAAAACTGAAATTTATTTCAGTCAGGCTTTTTCCGACAGGTTTCATTGAATCGCATTGAATTGTTAGTTAATATTATAATTCTGTTTTTGTGGTTGAAAATTGGACTGGAAAATCCGCAATTTCTCTGTAAAAATTTAAGTACGGTGTTATTGTCATTAGGTAAAGGATTTCATGAAATTATTATTTATATAATTTATTTAGTAATAACTGTATTTATAATTCTACACACACACACACACACTTATTTTTACATGGTTCTTTATGACAATAAAAATGATCATGAATTTCCAATCTGATGTATATTTTGCGATAGCAATACTTAACAAAGAGTTTAAACACAGAACGTTTACTAAATATACAGAAGATAATAATTAGATACTATTATAATTGACATCACAGTTAACAGATCGAATCTATCAAGCTCAAATAACCGCAAATTAAGCACTTACTTGTGAATTATTATGTCAATATCATCAAAATCAGAATAGTGTCGAAACGCACATTGATAGAAATCAGCACTTTCTCCACACCTTTCTTTAATTACTGATTGCATTGATCCTTTAGATAGCCGAGGCTGTGACCGGATGTACTTACGTGAATCATGACGCTGATTCGCGGAATTGTGGACGGTATTGTGCGCAGGCGCCTATCGTAGGCACAGTTTGAGCACGTAACGTGTATGCCGTGTACCGAGGTCGATGAGGTCATTGGCTTGACCTTTTATTAGTTTTATGAATTCTATAATAACGGAGTATTCTCGAAATTGTTTATTTTCCTCTGTTCTGTCTAGACAACTATGACTTAAAAATGTATATTCGTGTTTTTATTAATTCGTTTTTAATTTAGCAGCCATACAAATCTCATGGTTCTTCTATCTTCTTCTTCTTCGTTTTAGTAGTATTTATCTACGAGTTAATTATACATTATGTCAATATAAAAATGTTAGTGATATACGGATTAGGTAATAGGTTTCTACTCGTCACGGATCATCAACAGGTCAGGTCGGCTTTGATTGATAAAATACCAATACCGGTTAGCGAAATTTGTTTATTCAAGAGGAAGGAAAAAATAATGTTTATGTATTATGTATTATTAATTAATAATTATGTATTACCTAATACAAACAAAATAAGTTATTCTTGAACAAGACTGACGTAAATGAAGTCCCTAATACGAGTAGGTAGGTAGGTATACAAACAGAATATCGCGCTGCAACCGCAACATTATCCAAAATAAACACTTTAAAGTACTGGGTCGTGTTGTTATTATTTACAACATACAAGTCAATCAATGAATTGGAATAAACCGAAACCAAGTCATCCTTAACTAAATGCAATTAATCCAAAGCTAATTTATCCGAATGATTCACTCTAGTATTCTATGAACATTTTCTACGAAAAAGTCACTTCGTCAGAAGTATAAAATAACTCCATTAGTAAATAGTAAATAGGTACATTATCTAAAATAATAAGTAAGTACGTACGTGGTTTGAGGTTATCCAACATTCGTTGTGGAATGGGGGCGCAGTGGCTTTGTAATTGTAGATGTCGCGGGGTTAACAAGTTGCTTACTACACAGCGATATGCACAGGACACGTGTCACAAATATTGCTAAATCAAGCGTATGGATGGTCCTCCCGCTCTAGTAGACCCCGTCATATGATAGTGGGTCGAAAATCAATGAAGACCGGCAGGGCACTGAATGGCGGGGCGCCGACCTAGGAAGGTCGCACTCCCGTAGTACGCGAAGGGTTAACACGCATGCGCGAATGTTTGCTAAAATCTACTGCTTTTTATGTTAGTGGTTGAATTTTTTAAAATAAAGAATGTACATTTTATTTTGTATCTTCTCTATTTTTGTATTTCCACGTGATGATCATTGCGTTTAGACACATGAGACACAATAGTGGCATAATAAAATTACTTAGTTTTCCAAAGGTAAAGTACCTTACCTCCTAAACACCACACATACCTAATTTATATTATGTTAAGGCCAATTTTGGAGTTAGGCAGGTAAGCATAGTGTATAATCATGTACTCACTATAGCACAAACCAAATTACCTACTTTAATAAACAACAATATTGAATGGAAATGTCAACAAAACATGCCCTTGAAATTGC